GGGTAACAATTTTTTTTCATCAAAATCAGGCAAAAATGCATCCACGCGCTGATGCCATCCATCAAATGTACTTGCTGTGGCCTTATGCAATAAATCCACAGTGACCTGCCCTCGCCCAGGCGCCCTTGTAACATGTAAATTCCCCGCCCTCCCCCAGTGCCCCTTGCTTAATATGCTGTAAACTTTTCACCTTTAAAGCCAGAGCCGCCGACCAGAAATCTATTCGCATCATCAACCAAATGTATGTCTGCTCACGTACCCAATAACCTGTCTGTTGTGTGTAAAATGGGTAAATTGAAGAAATCTGGTAGACTGGACAGTCGGGGGTGAGGTGGCGCGTTCAGTAGTAGGTCTAGCAGATTATTGCAAACTGTATTGTCAGCTTCAACAACACAGCTTTACAAAGTTTTTAATAGTAATAGTCTTTATTTGCAAAATCATGCCCGAAGGCTAATTGCTTTTACAGTCAAAGATACTATATGGTACATTACAATGATAGGAAACAGACAACTACTGTCTGGAAAAACAGACAACTACTGTCTGGAAAAACTTCTACTTCTATTATGAGGTTTGACTTCTTCTGGAGTGGCAGTGGATAAAATTGATAAAACATTGTCGAGTCAGATCCAAACGAAACAGTTGAGGTAGATTCCGTTTTCGGTGATTGGTACGTATTTACCATATGAACTACAGTACAAAGCCGTTGCACTCTGCAATTGCATTGCCTGCATTCAACCCACGATTGGTGCAGAAATGGGAGTAATCAAACCCTCGTACTCTACAAATTGCCCAATTTTCTCACCCTCAAGCCGTATACACGTCAATGTACGAGCACTGTGGGCTGATGATGATTAGAAGAACCCGGAGCGTATCTAGGGACTGCAGAAGAAGAGATAGCTGTAAGCCTCAGGCGTAAAACTAATTATTAGGATACAATCTCTGGCCTAAAAAGGAAAGGGGATTCATGGGCAATAAGGCAAGTCAATGAGCCAGTTGCCACAAACTCATCTATTTTTTTGTAGGTCTGGAGGACACAAAAATGAATTCGAACCGAAAATTACTACAAAGTTGACTTCAATTATTCAATTATAATTACAAAAATTACTACAAAGGCAACATACGTGAACCTGTAGAAGCTTCTACGCGATAAATGACGGATAGTCAATTTGGTGAATTAAAAAAAATTCAAATAAGAAATATCTAGATTGCATTGAGCAACAGCATTTTTTATTGGAAGATGGGCATTTAACCGATTTGGCAGTCTTTCGGTGAAGAGGAATAATTTTTGAGCCAAATTGTTTCACCTGATTTTTTTTATTGAAATCATTCTACCATTTGCTCTGCTCATGCCTTGCCTCTAGTGAACTTAAAATGGCTGTTTGTGAAATGAGATATGTTCTCATCTGAATGTCATTACACTCAACATTGCCAAAAGCTAGATGAGACTACACTCGTGGGCACTTGATTTGATTTGATTTGATTGTTTGCATATTAACAAGACGGACAATAATAATATAAAAACAATGATAAAACAGGTGCAGGAGGAGGGAGAAGCATGGCGTGCTTATACTAGGCCCTCCTCCTCTAAACTATACAAAATTAAATATAATTAATAAATGGAAATAATACAATAGAAAATGGAAATAATACAATAAGGATAATGAAATAATGTATGTATAAGTTAATGACAATGAAAATAAGGTAATAGATAATAATTGGTATGAGTTATAATAGGAGAAAACACTAAATAAAACTACTACAGGGGGCTAGGTTCGTTAATCAGATGGTTTTTCAAAGCTTGTTTAAGTGAGAGAAGAGACAAGGTAGGATTCTTTAGGGCTGGAGTTAGTTCATTCCATAAGGTGACACCTTTGTATCTAACCGACATTTGGGCAAGAGAAGTTTTTACTAGGGGGATATGAAAATCGGAACGTTTGCGAGTTTGATAGTTGTGAATCTGAGAACGAAAATTAAAAAAGTCATCAAATGTGTCCGGGAGTTTATGGTTTATATATTGGGCTACGAAAAGTACAAATTACACTGTGGGATCTATTCGGGTGTAACATTCGTGGGGGCTGATCCTTGCATTGCTTTTCGCTCTTTTCATCCACGCATGACATCCGTAGCGAATTCATTTCAGAATACAGTGCATATCATATTCTCAGGGGAGATAACCAATACAGTGTTCAAACAGGAAATTACATTAAAGAATGTTTTAATCTTAGAGACTACATGTTAGAGAATAGTTAAACCTTTATTGTTACATCATACATATACTCTGTACGTAAGATGACGTTATCCACACGGCCACATATGTATTTAGCTTTGTTAGATCTTTAGTTGTAGAAGACCATACAAAAGTCCCTGTACTTTTTTGTTGTGTCAATAAAGAATCTATATCAAATAAAAGGTAGCCATAGCATTTTACTACAATGGAACATATCTAGGAAATCATCGAAGGGGTGGTTAATATTGTTTTACAATTATCTGGTTATTATCATGTACTCTTCTACAATTCCTAGTATCAACTAGAGGACAATAAAGACTGCCTGGTTGCTTTTTGGCAGCACACGGAACGTTCCATCTCGTATCATCAGTTTTAAATGGCCATACATATGCCCGTCAGAAATACTGACACTGTATATCACAATATTTGTGGCAAATGTTGTTAACCCAGGGTTGGCTGCGCGGTTTTATATTGGATTAATACCCGGTCTAAATCATAACTAACTCTGTTATATCACATCAAAACTCATCTGTTCGTCACGGCCGACCCTCCACGACCTCATTCCACACGCCATAAACGTACAGAGACGTGTTCGCGAATACCGGGCTGTTTTTCCCTGACCCACGGACCCTGCCTCCCATCAAACTTGCACTTGGTTCGGATTTGATGAGACTTTCCAGATCATCAAGCCGGCTGATGGGGGATTATAATGCCGTGATTCGGCTGTGATTATCCGCCTGGCCTTTAGAAAGCACGAGAGATAGGTCGTCAAACGACTTCCAGCTCTTCCGTGAGACCTTGGATAGGATTACCCCCACAGTCGTGATTCCCCAATCAATGTGGTTATTGCCATCCACCTTTCACCCAGTGTGCCGTATAGAAGGGTTTTAATGCCGTTTTACGTTGTAGGTTTGATGGTACATTAGGCCATGTTGATTTGATTATATGGATGACATCCGCGCGCGCATGAATTTTCGGCCGTTTCCAAAAAAAAGTTTTCAACCATACTGTAAATCGTACAAAACAGTTGCAAAATGAGCAAAAATATACCATAAGTTACAAAAAAAATTAATAAAAACTATACCAATGTCGTAGTATGCCAAAATCAAACGAAAAAAGACGAAATTGTAAAGAAATGAACTTGAAGACTAGATTATTCGCCAAACCATATTCTGTGCCATTTGCTCAACCCTCATGACCACGTAGATTTCATAATAGAAAAGAACTTTTTTTTTGCAAAACTTTTTTTTTATTCGCACGCGCGCATCAGTTTTGGGGCTCCCGGAGGATGTCATCCATATAATCAAATCAACATGGCCTTATGGTAGAGGGGATCTAGCTATTGACTATTGCCAGGGTGGTATAAATGGTACACGATTCAACAGAAGTTAGCTCTCCTCTAAAACAAACGCCACTTACCATACTTTTGCAACGTGTATAATTATATCGGCTGCAATTGTACTAGTAGATGGCTGCTTTATCCAACGTTAACTTCATGATATGTCACAGACGATAGGTTAAACAATTGCCACGTGTATGTCTGGTATAACCACTGTATTTCACTCATGGTAAAGATTTTATAGGTGGTTATGTGAATTGATCTTTTTTTAGTTTACGACTGCTATTTACTATGTAATCACGTAGTTTAAAACAGTCTAACCCCGTAAAATGGAATATTGGTAATAAAACTCGACAAATATGCTGAATCATTGGTATGGCCGCCTACAATATTACCGGCAGTAAATAATAATAACTTTATGGATGTATAAAATCTATAAAGCATTGGCTAAGGTCATGTGCAGTTTATAAAAGATTTTCTTATATCTATGACTAGGCACTACATCATTAGATTATTTTTGTTTTCAATAGAAGTGTGTTTTTATTGTATACATGATGCTGATCACACGTCAATAACAGTCAGTATTTGGAGCGCAGAACCAAATCAGTTAATTGACTGCACGGAAATGACTTCTGACCTCCGACCCGAGGTCGCATTCGGTTTCCGTTCTAGTAGCGTGCTGTTAGTGCAGCCACTCTAGCAAATCCTCGAAAAAATCCTCAAAAATTCTCGTTCAAATCCGACAATTTTTCGGAAGATATGACTCCCAAACGTTCGAAGAAGTGTCCAGGATGCCATTTGGACGTCGCCCTGCACAAATCGGGCGTTGCTGGCAAGGATTGCACGGGGATTCTGGATATACATGATGCTGAGCACACGCCAATAACACAAGTTCTGTTAATGTGATCACCCTACTAGCGTAGTAGCTATAGCTAGTAGTATAAGCCAAGAAAGGAACAAGAAACAGTTATTGCCTTCGAATTCAAATATCAGAGTTATCAACCAAGAATTGAGGTGTTCAAAAACTCGTATTTTCCAAAAACTATCGCAGAGTGGAACTCGTTGCCATCACTAGAAAGCTTTAAACAACTCCTGCAATCAAATGGGAAAAGACTGAATGTAACAAGCCATTCGGTGTAATGTAGCTAGCTGCCGCCGCATCGTGTGCCTGTGAAGCTGGTGTGTTACACCAAAGGGCGGTTATACCAGGTATACCGATACAGATATAGATAGTTAATCTCCAAGCAGATCCTAGTTTCTAAAAAATAGAGTATCAAATTGGCCAGGCAGTATCCAATTGGCCAGAGAGGGTCCATGCTCGACCCAGCGACAAAAAAGGCCACATATCAAAAGCTAACGATCATTCCCCCACAACCTCTGCTTGGAGAGTAATAGATAGTAGTAGTCAAAAATTCTGTCTTTTCCTCCCTACAGGCGCCCTTGGACTTGAGGCCAGAGAACAGCTGTACCGAGACCTGTTCCTCAAGTACAACAAGGTGCCGCGTCCGGTCAAGAACGTTACGGACAAGGTCACCATCAAGTTCGGCATCGCCATATCACAGCTCATAGATGTGGTAAGGCAAATATGTAACCATATTTTATCTATTCACATATATTTATTGAGTATTAGGCCATGTTGATTTGATTATATGGATGACATCCTCTGGGAACCCCAAAACTGATGCGCGCGTGCGAATAAAAAAAAGTTTTGCAAAAAAAAAGTTGCTTTCACTATGAAATCTACGTGGTCATGAAGGTTGAACAAATGGCACAGAGTATGTTATGGCGAATAATCTACTCTTCGAATTCATTTCTTTGCATTTTTGTCTTTTTCCTTTGATTTTGGCATTCTACGACATTGGTATCGTTTCTAAATGTTTTCCTTGCAACTTATGGTATATTTTTGCTCATTTAGCAACTGTTTTGCACGATTTACAGTATGGTTGAAAACTTTTTTTTTGGAAATGGCCGAAAATTCATGCGCGCGCGGATGTCATCCATATAATCAAATCAACATGGCCTTAGGCAAGAAACACAGTTGCTTATGTGACGCCTTGTACTCAAAAACATAAAACGAGAGTAAAACACAATGGCAAAATACATACATAAGTACAAAATGGGTAAAAGAAAAATGAGTATAAACAAGACAAGTTGGTGATCTGTCAATTACGAGAGCCTACCTGTATAGTAAATAAAGGTTTGAAAGACATTACAGTTTTGTGAATGTGAAAGTGATGTGGACCCTCGTAGCAGTAAGGAACATAAAGAACTGTGGCTGAGATGCTGTAGCTCTACTATGTTGGAAAGAGATGATAACAGAGTACTTCCAAATGTATATAACACACCCTGTTTTACCATGAAGAGTGTACAGCAATTCGACGAGAAATTTTGTCATTTCGCTTGGGTTTCTGTTTCTGTGTCTTGTCTACCATACCTTGTCACATTCCCTTACAAGTGTAGAATTTGAGTAAGGAAAACGAAAGAGTGCTAGGACTAAAATGACCACATGCCACGTCGAAAGTATGACCTTTTACGATATTCAAGATCATCCTAGAGAAATTGCGTATCTAATTAATTATTGATTGCCCTACTGCCTTATACACCATCTTGTATATCCCGAAGTACATGTAGATGACACAGCCAACTAGAGCAGCAATAGTAAGCAAATGCTTAGAATTTTCAAAAATGTACACTGGTACCAAAAGATACCAAATAGTGTACTATACGAAAACCTACCCACAGTGAGCGAAACAATAAGGAAACGAAGGTTGAAGTTCATAGGACACTGCTACAGATTTGAGGATGAAATCATAAACCAGTTAATACTGTGGGAGCCCTCACATGGAAAAAGAAGTCGTGGTCGTCCAGCAAGAAACTACATAAATCAATTAATGGACGACACCCAGCTCGACAGGAAAAACCTGATGGTAGTAATGAAGGATAGGAAGAGATGGAGAGCTATCATTGGCACCGAGGGAAGCATTGTGATGTCTATCGTATTCAGAACCGTGCATATCTAGTTTCATATGCCTAAGTAGGTTAGGGTTAGGAGCAGGCATGATTCTGGATAGTCTCTGCGTAGCCAAGGACTTATATTTTTACACTGTCACGGTTCTGGATAAGCGTGGACAATCCAGAACCGTGCCTGAGCATGGTTCTGGATGAAGCACGGTTTTGGATCATACAACAAAGGCCAAAGACATGCTGGAAGCACGGGATCCGGGCGATTTTATACGCTTTCAAAACGTTTCGTATATGTAGCAGCTCAATTCATTACTCATACCGGGCTTCAGTAAGGCCATGTTGATTTGATTATATGGATGACATCCTCCGGGAGCCCCAAAACTGATGCGCGCGTGCGAATAAAAAAAGTTTTGCAAAAAAAAAAAGTTCTTTTCATTATGAAATCTACGTGGTCATGAGGGTTGAGCAAATGGCACAGAATATGGTTTGGCGAATAATCTAGTCTTCAAGTTCATTTCTTTACAATTTCGTCTTTTTTCGTTTGATTTTGGCATTCTACGACATTGGTATAGTTTTTATTAATTTTTTTTGTAACTTATGGTATATTTTAACTGTTTTGTACGATTTACAGTATGGTTGAAAACTTTTTTTTTTGGAAACAGCCGAAAATTCATGCGCGCGTGGATGTCATCCATATAATCAAATCAACATGGCCTAACATTCATGAATCAAGTGCCACGCGATGATAAAGCACGTCAGTGGCTGCACCATTTGTATGATTAGTTACAGGGTCCGAGCAGCTGTGTCTCCGCCTCAAATACAGTTCCAAACGTAGTAAATAATTTCATCAGGTTGTAAGATATTTAGGGTATAGAATTTTCTTCTTACACAACCAGTAAACTTTCTCACCTGCTTACGTTTCGATGTCTATCAGACACCTTCCTCAGAGCTTCTGACTGGAGTACTGCACCTACATATGATAAATAGCGGCGAGTTGCAGAACTCCAGTCAGAAGCTCTGAGGAAGGTGTCTGATAGACATCGAAACGTAAGCAGGTGAGAACCTTACTGGTTGTGTAAGAAGGAAATTCTATACCCTAAGGCCATGTTGATTTGATTATATGGATGACATCCGCGCGCGCATGAATTTTCGGCCGTTTCCAAAAAAAAAAGATTTCAATCATACTGTAAATCATACAATCAACAGTTGCAAAATGAGCAAATATATACCGTAAGGTACCAAAAAAATATTTGAAAATGATACCATTGTCGTAGAATGCCAAAATTAAATGAAAAAGACGAAAATGTGAAGAAATGGATTTGGAGTGTAGATTATTCGCCATACCATACATTTGTTCAACCTTCATGACCACGTAGATTTTATGATGAAAGCAACTTTTTTTTTTTGCAAAACTTTTTTTTTATTCGCACGCTCGCATCAGTTTTGGGGTCCCCAGAGGATGTCATCCATATAATCAAATCAACATGGCCTAAGTTCCAAACGCCGCTGGGAAACACGGAAATAGACAGGAAATAGGCCGTTATGAGATGCCGTTGATAAAGCACAGGGATTATCAAGGTAGACACGTTACAGCTTTGAAGCAAAACCGAAAGAGTTGCTTATCAGTACCGATGTATACAAATCATGAAACAGATTGTCGTTGATGTATATAAGACCCTAGGCATTATGAGGTTAACAATACATTGTCAATTCGAATTGGAACCGAATGTAATAAATTAGAATGCTGATAAACCATGTAAAGCCGTTATTCATGTATAACCATTGCATAAACAGGGCCATGGAGTTGCTTGATCGGATCCATACGGACTCTTGCCATTGCTTGGCTCGAGTTCTGCCTGCCTCCAAACCTTATTCCCCCATTTTTTATATGTTTGGGACTGTTTCAACTCGATAACCTCGACTCTTATATCTCATCTAATATTGGCATTCAAGGTACAAAATCATTGGAATTCAATCATTGTATCCTCTTGCAAACAAGTCATTTGGGTACCATATCACAATTTAAATGCTTTAGGTTCAAGGATAAGTCTTGAGTACATTATTGTAGTCGGTGAATGGAAAATACACTATCATCAATCTGGTGACCAGGTTTTCACCCTATAGGGTGATGTGTTGAAATTTACTTTCAGGGTCATGAAGTAATCTTTGATACAAATGTCACCATGACAGCACCAAGGGAACTATAGTCTTATTGTATCTGTCACGAGGCAATACTTTGGTATCATGACTACTTCTCTACCTCAGTAATAGCTAACCATAAATAATTTTGTTGTATTTTGTCTTTCCTTTCAGGATGAAAAGAACCAAGTTTTGACTACCAGCGTCTGGCTTAGACAGGTACGAAATAGGGGTTAATAACCCGCCCCGAGGTGTATATAGATAGTGTCCTAAGACCTAGTCATTTCCTATAACGATTGAACCGCCGAGTGAGCGCTAGCCCACACCCTGTTCTCTAGCCCGATTCATGTTCCACCATGTTCGGTCTGACGTTAATCGAACAGAACAGTCGACGCTGATTGGCTCCGGGGTTTATGAGATTTAATCACCGCTGCGTAGATTATGAAGTCATAACCAATAGGAAATGGGGACCCTAATTGGTCAACGTCATCTGCCTATATGATAATTACAGATAGTGGTTTGAAAAATTTTGATACTTTTATCAATTTTTGATACTTTAATCAAATATTACTGCGCTCCGGAGCTACATTGGTGACCAACAGATAAATCATTTCATGCTATATTGCTTTCGTAGAGCCAATTGTCTTTGTTCCACTGTACTAGGAATGGTTTGATTACAAGTTAAACTGGAATCCAGAGGATTATGGGAATTTGACGTACATCCGGGTACCTTCAACGGAGATATGGGTCCCGGATGTTGTCCTCTACAACAAGTGAGTACCGCCATATATAGTTTGTGTTTCACATCATCGCTTTGCATGGCTTGTCTGCGTCTCTGTGGAAATAACCCCTCGAATGTGACAAAGCTGCAGTAATATCATTTGACACTTTCATGCATGCTATAGACCTAGAATCGCCCCCCTCCTGCCATGTTACGGTGAAGTCTTCAACTTTGAATGTTAATAACATTTTTGTGTGTGTGGAATGTTGATATCTTACTCAGCTACTTTATAAAAGAAATTCAATACAAATGCTTTAATACTCTCTATATACAAAAAAATGTCTGCAAAGAAAGATATTCCTATGATAAGATACTCATAGTTACACACTTATAGCACTGTCGAATCTCTAATTGGATGAAGGTTGACTGGATATTTTTTAGAAATGGGTAATTATAGAGGTTTATGATTTCAACTCCCCCCTAATGTTTCTATGATAATAATTTCTGATTCATAATCAAGCGTTGGTAGCATCTGGCCGAGGTATTCAGAGCTTTTGTGGCACTATAAGAGTTGTCGTATGCGCTAATTTATTTGGTTCAGTATCTTACTGCCTGGCAGAAATCTTTATGACTCCATGGCTCCAAAACAGAGCGGAATATTAGATTCCTGGCCTCTGCCATTTGCGACTAAATTAATCTGCGTGTTAATAACATCAATATGTGGCAGTAGTAAGTCAAAGTGAAGACAGACATGTATTGGGTTGTGGCTGATCTGTTCTACACTAATGCGCCTCCTTTGGGTGGTAAATTCAACCTTTACTGTTACCAGAGGGGGAATTAAACCCGGTAGTCGGTCATTATCTGACGATCACAGGTCCCTTTGCGATTAAACTTGTTTTCTATATAAAATAATTACAGATATATAATGGCTGATGTGGTAACATTAACGTTACAGACACTAGCAATTCATGATGTAAATATGAACTGAGATGCTACTATCCATGTATAGACAGCTAAATAGTTGTAAAATAGAAAAACATAATTACCCAATGTATCAAAATGTTTTAAAATTAATATTTGCCCCCCCCCCCTGAAGAATAAAGTAAATCAATAGTTTGTATACGTGCATTTCTAGGAGTTATTCTCCAGTCAAAATGACATTTTTAACCCTCTAAATGATGTTTTCATTCAAGACTATCAATTCCATATAACAAGCTCTTCAACCCCATGATGCCAGGCCGTTTCGTGTGTCTATCAAGGGTAGGTAGATGAGTTGGATTCATCGACAGAGTTAATGAAGAGGTGACCGTAATTATACTGCACATCACCCTAGAATTAACCAAAAGGACCCAAAGTGGGCCGAGTTTAATCCGATTGGGTCTGAACCCAATCATAAGTGACCTTTGCCAAAGTAAAACTCACATCAACATTCATTGAAGGGTAAGACATTAATCAGAATATGAATTTTTTGCCATCATAATTTTCCAATAAGGGATGATGGATGTGCTGCGTATCGCGTGGAGTTAATCACGGAAAAGGAGAGAAAATGTCAGATTACTTAGCAAACCACCTGGTTGGTCTACAGCGTTATTAGTTAGCAGAAAGTTTGGCAGTCGCGAAGTTTGTAGACATTGTAGCTTTGCATACTTAGCATCCTTACACGTGTTCTGTATTTGATATATACTCTGACTCAATTCACTCGTAATAGAATTCAGAAATCTGGATAATATTTTTGTTGGTTAACAAAATAATATGGGTAAATCTATCGATAGAAGACAAAGCTACATTCGTAAAATAATATCACGGCAGTGTTAACGTTATGTTGTTAAACTCTATTACTAAGTACGAACACGTCTTAGACTTTGTGAAGCCATTTGATATTGAGCTCTAGTAAGCGCAGTATCATTCGGTGAGAAATCCTGACCGGACTTTTAAAAAGGCACTCACGAATGGAGAAATGGAAATCAATAGGTGCCAAGTATGACGAGTGGCCTCAAATGAGCGAGAAAATTGAGACTCATTCTTATCACCTTGGCGCAGTTCTGTCCAGATTTAGCCTGATGGGGCATCAGGTGGGGCTGCGGATGGTGATGGGGAATCTATTGGGGTGGTCTGACCTACAAACTACAGCCGGGCGGACTCACAACTCTCCATGTGGGGCACGCTCGTATTCATGATATCCATCCAAACCGTGCTGAAACACTTGAAGTACGACTGATTACAGAAACTACAGTTATTTCTACTGAGAGCTGCATGTCCGTAGCCAGGATTTTGAATGGGGGGGGGGGGGTTCTTCCCACTGCTTGGGGGGACCTCGAGCGGCGTAGGCGCGAGGCGAGCGCCGAAGGCGCGAGGTTCCTAGGGGGGTCCGGGGGCATGCTCCCCCGCAAAATTTTGAAAAATGAACCTTCTAAAATGGCATTTCGTGCATATTTGAGAGGATTTCCAAGAAAAATCAGAGATAAATTTTATTCAATGACAAAGGGAGCAGTTTTTCTTCGATTCCAGTCCATCTTTTCAAGAAAAATCTTGGACCTTTACATAAAAAGTGGACCAAAAAGTGGACCTTTACATAAAAAGTGGACCAAAAAGTGGACCTTTGAGCCTTGTGTGTGTGTGGGGGGGGGGGTTCTTCCGAACCCCCCTGGCTACGGGCATGGGCTGAGACTTAAGCTGTTGAAGTGGAACAGGGAAAATGAGTGCGATTTCAACCATCAATTGTACTGATGACCAAAGTAGTGAGCCATGCGAAATTTGCAGTTCACTGGTCACGTCAATAGTTCTGGAACATTTGCTTCAGTGAAAAAAAATGAGTGCAATTCTCATCCATTGTACTGATGACCGAAGCAGTGATCTTTGCGAATTTTTCAGTTCAATGGATCAGTTTAATAGTCCTAGTGGAATGCTTGCTCCTGCGAGACTGACAGTATTACCCACAGGGACGATTATGATAATTGCAACCCAATCAAACGCACTTAAGTGTTATGACGACACTGCAAGAAGCACAAGCACTTTTGTTATTTTTGGTGAGAGAAAGCTCCATTGATATTGCAACACATCATAGTCATGTACCAAGAAGAAACAATAATATCACAGTGCAAATTCTATGAAACATCTTACATAAGAAAATCATAAGATTATATTCCTCACAGCCCTCTTTTGCATGGTAGTAATAGTGTATCAATGTAGGGTTCTGTTTTCTGTAGTGCATTCCCATTGTAGTCAATGTAGAATATGCCTAGGTAGCAAATAACATAGACCAGTAGTTATATGATACGTTGTAGACTAGACCTAACACATTATCTAATGTATTCTTCAGTGTATATTTGTGTAGTCTCTGTCCTACCGTGTATGCTACGAGAATGTGCGGTACAAAGACACAGTGTATGGTATATCGTCCTTGTTCTGTGTACATGTGATTGAAAAAGTCCGTGACTACGGCCATCAATGTTGTGATTGTTGATGCAATAAAAAAAAAGCAGTGTATGATTCCGTTTTTGTCTTGTCTGGTCTGGTCAAAACCAACATTTCACATGTCAATTTTCTCTACATCTTCATCACTTGATAAAATATTATACAAATTTGTCTCAATTGATCTAAGAGTTACGAAGAAAAGCAGACAGCATTTCGATTGCTGGAAGATGTTTTTAGCCTTCAAAAGATGTGATTCAAATAATATATCCTTTATGTATATGCACATATGCTGTATTCCTCTGATTGCTGATGTTACAAAGATAAAAAAAATCGTATTGCCTAAAACTGTACTCATTTGGTTGTCTGTATGTGTTGTCAGACGGAAAACAACGATGTAGATGTTGTTCGCCACTCTAGAATGAGCAAATTTTATTCTTTAAGAGTACAATATTTGAAACTCATGTTCGAATGAGATTTTTCACAACTAATTCACTAGATAACAAAAAAGTATATCTTTGAGATGATATCACGAGAGTAAAACTTTTCTTAATAATTCGAAAAGCAAAGTTATGCATTTGTCTTCGACGACCATAAGTGAGATTTATTATTAGATTTTGTATCCGAAAAAAAATGCCCTAAAATCTTACCAACCTGAAATTGTAGAAAGTACATACTTTCTGTCATATCATTTCATGTTAAGGCAACACCCAGGGCTGCTCAATGACGTGCAGTGTCTTTGATTGTAAAACAGTGATCTAGTCCAACGCAGTCTTTGTCTGTTGGTTAGGCCACACCGACTTAATTTTATGGATGACATCCTCGCGCGCATTGGTTTTCGCCTGTTCTCAAAAAAAAAAATCTCGATCACGTCCTCCGAGTCTCTGACCTGGCTCTAGGCCTGGGTCGGGGCCATGGTAGTTAGCGACAATACTGAGCCGGGCACCAGGCTACCGAAGCTCCTCGACTCAGGAACTCAGTACATACGTACAGTGCCGATTCATAAATTACGAAAAAAGCCAGCATGTACCAGCTTGTCGTATACGTCGCTATTTACTGCCGCAAATTCACAACACCAGGTTGTATGCCCGTGGTTTTGTAGCATTTTAAAATTATTTTTGACCGGAATTTTTTTTATTCGCCCGCGCGCACCAGTTTGGAAGTCTTCAGAGGATGTCATCCATAAAATTAAGTCGGTGTGGCCTTACTTTGTTATGATGGAGTATCAGGAACCCACAGAGACTGTGTTGGACTTCACAAAATACCGACTGAACGTCTGTCACCCCCCGGGTTACATATGTTCAAGAGAGACTGCCCATTCATTGAGTAACCTTCTTTTCCAGCGCCGACGGCAGCTTCGACGTCGCAGCGAAAACCCGTGCGCAGGTGTTCCATGACGGCCGGGTGCGCTGGATCCCGCCCGCCCTCTACAAGAGCTACTGTTACATCGACGTGCGCTTCTTCCCGTTTGACCAGCAGAACTGCTCTATGAAGTTCGGCACGTGGACGTACGATTTCACGCTGGTGGACATGACGCTTTGGGAGAACGCCATGGACAGAGCGAACTTCCGTGAGTCCGGAGAGTGGATCGTGATCGACGCTCCCGTCTACCGACACGTGGAAGACTACGCCTGCTGCCCG